CCAGTGACTATGAGATGCCCTACTCTGAGTAGTTGGAAATGAGAGATAAAACAATCTTATCTCACTAATCACCCACTACCTACTCCTGTGCCTGGCACAATGGTGGCTCTCCATCAGCGTTAGCTGAATAAATTCACGGATGGTTTTGAAAACAAAATCAAAAACATGAGTTAAAAAAAAAAACACTCCACTTTTCAAATAGATGATTTCAGCCTCAAATTCCTGAAGTTCCTGAAAAATGCAAATGCTCCAGTGAGTTAAGCTCTTGTCAATCTAGCAGAGTCCTACAAAATGTGTGAAGTTTAATGACAGGACTCAACTATGACAGCAGGCATCCTTTAGATACTCCTTACTGCAATATTTATACCCTACTGGGTATATGCTTCTCTTTTTTTTTTTTTTTTTTTTTAAAGATTTAATTTATTTATTTGACAGAGAGAGACAGCGAGAGCAGGAACACAAGCAGGGGGAGTGGGAGAGAGAGGAGCAGGCTTCCCGCCAAGGAGGGAGCCTGATGTGGGGCTCGATCCCAGGACCCTGGGATCATGACCTGAACCGAAGGCAGACGCTTAACGACTGAGCCACCCAGGCGGCCCGGGGTATATGCTTCTCTTAACTCAATTTCAAGGATATAAGCTTAATCAGTAATTACACTCAAATACACAAAAAGTTATGTATTAGTGTTACTAAGTGATTTGGAATATCACAGAATCTTAGAGTTAAAAGAGACCTTTAGAGATCATCTCATCCAATTCAATATAGGAGGTCGCTCTACAATATTTCTAGTCTGTTTATCATCATGTATTGGCTGCACTACAGCAAAAGCCTCCAAACAGATTTCCACATTTATCCCTTTGCAATCCAATCTCCACCAGCAGCTAGCACAACTTCTCAACAGGTCAATCAAATCATGCTGCTCCCTGCATGAAACTCACTGAAGGCTTCTGCTTACTCTTTCTCACAGCACTCATACCATAGCATCTGGTTCCAGCCAACCTCTGTCTCCTGCCCTCACCTCACAGCTCATTCCCTCCTGCACAAAGGGACTTGCCACTTTCTTAATCCAGGGTCTCTGTGCTTGATCCTCCTACTGTCTACAGGGCCCTTTGAATTCATCCCTCCTCATTCCTTGCTCCCATGACCAGGTCCATCTTGGGGTCAGCTTTAAAAAACAAAACAAAACCGAAACCCTCCTCGGAGGGGCTTCCTTCTTTAACATCCCTCCACTCAATTCTATATTTATATTTGCTTTTTTCATAGTACACATGCCAATGAACAATTATTTTACTTTTTTTCTGATCTGCCTTCCCTCCCAGATTATAAGAAAGCTCCATAAAAACAGGGAACTTGTCTGTTGTCTTATTCTTCTTCAGGACTGTAAACAAATAGGAGGCACTTAACCAACAGTTATCATCTGATTTTATGCATGGTTACCCAAACTCTGAGTGAAACCTATACTAATGGGAAGACTCCTCCATCTAGGCCCACTACAGACCCCAGACTAAGAAACTCTCATTTGGACAATGAGGACAGGAGCCAATGCAACTTCCTGCCACGCAATTTTTGAGAACTAAGGTTCTCAAAAATTAAATTTGAGGGAACACTACAGAGCAAATTCTAGGGAAAGAAGAGGCTTCACTTCAATTACATGTGAGATGTCTCACAATGTTTCATTTAGGGGGGTGCACCTAGCATCAGTAAATTTTCAAATCTAAAAGAAACATGGGAAATCATCGCCCAAAAGATAAGAGGTTCGTCCAAGGTCACCCATCCGTCGGTGGTCAAGTTAGGACAAGAATGTACATCTCTGTTTCCCGAAAGCGGCGCTCTTTCCACCTAAATCTCACAGGTTTCGTACACTGTGCGCCCAGAGTACTAGTGCTCTCAGAACTGGGAGGGAGCGCGGGCTGGAGTCAAGGCCGGGAAGAGTGCAAGGTTAACAGCAGGGAAGAGTCCCCCTCTTCCCATCAGCAGTAGGAAGCTTGCAACACAGGCGGGGGTGGGTGGTGGGAGCCCCCGGACTCGCAGAGCTCACCTGTCTGGGACCCAGAGGCGGGTAGTGCGGTCTCTGGACACGGACACAAAGGCCCCCGGCGGATAAAGGCTGCATACCAGGCCCCGCACGTCCAGCTCGTGGCCGGGGAGCGAGCAGCTCAGCCGGTACCTGGCGGCACCGCTCGCCATGGCCCTCGTCTCTCCGGCGCCCGGGGCCCAGGCACCGCGCGAGATCAGTCCGCAGGGAAGGCCGGGGGTGCGCCGGGACGCGGCGGCCGAGGGGCCTGCAGGTGAGGGGCCGCTGAAGACCGGAAGAGCCCGAGAGCCGGTGCGGAAGGGCGACGGGGAAGGGGAGCGCCGAACGGGCCGAGTGACACAGCAACCCTGGCTTGCACACCGGAATTCATCATCCGTCTCAGCCCGCCATGACGCAAAGCGTGTGCGTCCCGGCTGCTGAGGCCGACGCCGAGATGAAGCTCGCTTCCGTCCCGCGCCTCGGACCGCCAGCCAAGGGAGAGCTACCGTCCGGCCGTTTCGCCCGATCGCCCCAGTCCAGATCCTTTCCGAGCCCGAGTCCTCTCCGAGTCCTGGCTGAACTGCTTATTGTAGTACAAGATGTGGCCCGGGACTACAAATCCCACAATGCCATGCGCCAGCGGGACCCGAGACTCCGGGGCGCCGAATCCGGATATTTTTAAATCTTGATCCGAGGGGCTGCGCGCTCTCTTGTGGTTGAAAAAGATCGCTTCGGTCGTTGTGTCAGGGCAGCCTAGCCCTGATTTCCCCAAACCTGCTTTGCAGTCTCCGGAGATTTTCACAAGCTAAACGTTGTTTTTTAGTTAAAACGAGAGAGCTAGGGACCAAGTTGTAATCAATCGTTTGCCTTAAATCCTGTGAACCCTAAGTTGCGTCCTTGGTACTCTAAAAATACTTTAAATACTTTATGTGTTAAGCAATTCTAAGGTATAGGACATTTCTCCCAACTGTGACGTCTGCATACAGATGACAAATGCTGGGCCCCCCTCCCTTGTGTCTGAAGGCACTCAAGGGGAAATCTCCGTGTCAGTAATTTCTCTCAGACAATTCTGTATACGGAGTAGTTGGACAGAGGTTGTAGGGAAGGGAATAATCTTTTTTCTTTCTACCCTTCTGGGCTTTCCGTGGGGCGCTGTAACAAAAGACAGATTAACAAGAGAAAAACAAATTTATTAACATGTATATGTCCTATATACAAGAGAAACTCAGAGATGAGTACTCAAAGAGATGGCTAGAGTCTGGGCTTAAACAACATCTTAACAAAGGAACAGCATTTACAGAAGAAAAAAAAAAGAACCTAAAGTCTTTAGAGGCAGCAAATTATGGAGAGGCAAATATATGGGGGAACTAATGGTAAATAAAGGCCAGTTAGTAAAGTTTGTTATGTAGATTCCTCTGTGTAGTCTAGGCTGACAAAGGGTCTAAAGTCTCCCATGACGAGGCGCCTGGGTGGCTCAGTCGGTTAAGTGTCTGCCTTCGGCTCAGGTCATGATCCCAGGGTCCTGGGATTGAGCCCCGCATCGGGCTACCTGCTCCGCGGGAAGCCTGCTTCTCCCTCTCCCACTCCCCCTGCTTGTGTTCCCTCTCTCGCTGTGTCTCTCTCTGTCAAATAAATAAATAAAATCTTAAAGTCTCCCATGACTAAATTTGTCCTTCTGGTAGGGAGAGGCAAGAAGGGACACCTTTGAAAATTTATGTCCTGCTTTTAGTCAAATAGGGGAATGGTAGCTTTTCTTGTATCTCCTTTCCAATTGCATTTAGCTCAAAATAATCCTTATATGAAAGTGGCATATTTTATTTTATTTTATTATTTTTTTAAAGGTTTTATTTATTTATTTGACACAGAGAGAGAGAGCGAGAGCAGGAACACAAGCAGGGGGAGTGGGAGAGGGAGAAGCAGGCTTCCCGCAGAGCAGGGAGCCCGATGCGGGACTCGATCCCAGGACCCTGGGATCATGACCTGAGCTGAAGGCCGACGCTTAACGACTGAGCCACCCAGGCGCCCTAAAAGTGGCATATTTTAGAGTGGCAAATGTTACTACCATTCACTACAGTGACCAAAAGAATAATAAATGACCACTACAAATATGTTGGGCTCAAATGGGAGAATTCCACAAAAATATTTTACAAACTTGAAGTGAGAAGTTAGCCACATGACTTTATTTCATTTTCTATTGGATTCATTTTAAACTACTTGAAGGCAGACATACTAGAAAATAAATCTGGATATAAATAAAGTATGCAAGTTGGAAATAATGTAAAAAACGTTAAAAGTCCATATATATTTAGGTTATGAGTATAGCTGCAATCACACTAACTCTATAGGAAGACTGGAAGAAAACTAACGGCTACTTTACTAGAGAGGTGGGATTTGAGATGAAGTAGTTCTTACATTGTGTTTTTTAAAAATACTGATACTAAAATAGTTATTTTAAGACAACTGTCCATTTAATTCATCCTTCCTCACAAACTTGAATCAAAGGAACTCTGAAAGGAAGCTTCCTACCAAATGAGGAATAGATGGTACCAGAAACGCATCTATACTTAATGTTGTATACGTTGTGCAGTCCTAACAGGAAGGAAACCTACCTCTAATAAGAAGTAAAAAGACTGTACAAGGCTGCCTACCACAGATACCTTTAAACAGTTTTTATTAAAAATGATAGCACGTGTGAGGTGACATAGCAATATAATAAAACCCGCTAGGAGTGAATTGAGGTCGGGCACACAATCGGACAGGTTGCTGTAAGTATAAAGAACACTAAAGTTTTCCAATAAAACGTTCTTTCTCAGCCAAGTCGCCGTTTTCTATTTCTTCCCGAAAAGCGCGGAGGTGTTCGGCCACAAAAATTAGCCCTCCAATCTCGCGAGAGCAGTTTACTCTCGCCTCGCTTGTAGTTACCAGGGGCAGAGGCCGAAGATTGGCCAATCAGGACGAGGGCTCTCCCCCCCCTCCCCGCCCCCGTTGCCGGGATACGCAGTCACGCGGGGCCGCTAGTGGTTCGGCCTGAGGGTCCAGGAAAGCTGCGCGTGGACTAGCGAGGAGTCGCGAGTGAGTTAACCGGTACGGAGAAAGACTGGTGGGTTCCGCCGGGGTGGCGCCCTGGTGAAGAAGTTGGAGCTCCCCTGACCGCTGCGACTTCCCTCCTAACGCGACGGAGGAGGTGAGAAATCCCGGGTCGCATTTATCCCTCCCTCAGTCCCTTGGGATCCGGTTATCTCACATCGGAGAACCTGGTCCGCTCCAAAGGAAACACATCCGAACTTCTCCCCTCTTGGCTGTTCTCCTCAGCCTGTCGCCAGGCTAGGGAGGTACGACTCCAGTCCCGCAAAGCGTGTGAAGAGACCTCCTCAGTCTCCTGAGGAAACCCGACAAGGCGAGACCAGAGAGAAGGATTCCAGAGCCTCAGAAAGAAAATTCACTGTGGGCTGAGGGATTTTACTCAAAGTAACAGATTCTGTCTCGTATTAGCAGCTCTCCACTTCTTCATATATCTTAAAATGGGTGGTTTAGGGAGGATAATGGTAGCAATAATTAGGAGGCAGATATTTTATATGTAGTTTCTGTAATCTTGACAACAGCTCATTGCCACACTTGGGTCCTACAGATGAGGAAACACATCCAGTGGGGGTTATATAGCTGGTTAACTGTCAGAGTTTGTGTCACTCATTTTTCTGGAACCAAAGGTCAGGCTGCTTCTCTGTGAAAACGGTGGAGATTATGTGAATGTTTGCGTGAATGACCCAGAGTTAGTGGCATGTTTGTTACTAGTGACCCTTTTTATTTTACCTCTGGAACTGATCTAATGCTAAGCTTTTTCCAAGACAGCAAGGCAGTGGCAATCAGGTGGAAATTTTATATATTGTACATTTTCTTGACGTTATCAGGAAAGCTAGAGTAATAGACTTAAATTTTACATTGACAATAGTCATACCTCATTTTTCTTTTTTCTTTTTTTTAAAGATTTTATTTATTTATTTATTAGAGAGCGAGCGAGAGAGAAACAGCATGAGAGGGGAGAGGGTCAGAGGGAGAAGCAGGCTCCCCGCCGAGCCGGGAGCCCGACGCGGGACTCGATCCCAGGACCCTGGGATCATGACCCGAGCCGAAGGCAGTCGCTCAACCAACTGAGCCACCCAGGCGCCCGTCAATAGTCCTACCTCATTTTTCTTGAGCTTCACAGATACTGAGGTTTTTTGTGTTTTGTTTTGTTTTGTTTTTTTACAAATTGAAGGTCTGTGGCAAACCTGCATCAAGCAAGTCTACTAGTGCCATTTTCCCAACAGCATTTGCTCACTTCATGTCTGTCACATTTTGGTAATTCTGGTGATACTTCAAACTCTTATATTTGTTTCGTCATCTGTGAATAGTGATTAGGACTTGCTGAAAGCTTAAATGATGGTTAGCATTTTTTAGCAATATTTTTTCACTAAGGTGTAAATTTATGTAAACATAACTGAAACAAAATTTAAGGAAACAATACCCTTCCTTTGTGCAGTGAACGCTTATATTTTTTATTTCATGCTTAAAGTATATTGATCAGAACCTGCCAAATTGTTTTCACAAGCCACTAATAGGTCGTGACCCATAATCTGAAAAATGCTATTCTAAATTATCAGCCAAACTTTAAATAATATATTCTGAGGGGAATTGGAGGGGGCTGATAAACTGGGAAAGAATGAGTGAATTAAGGAACTGGTTTAAAGAGGGATGTAGTGAGAATAAAGATGAGACGGGTATAAGGAATGGAGATAAGGTCAGAGAATGAAATATTTCAGTTGATACTGAGGTGAAACAATTCCAGGTGATGACAAGCTCCAGGTCCACCCACAGCTATGGATGACTGAAATGGAGTTGAAATAGTAACTGAAATTTAAGTCAGGGAACTGTGACCCAGAATGTTAGGTATTGAATCCAGTATCCCTGTGGAAGTCATCCAGGACACTGGTGGAACTGAAATAGACTGAACTAGGTACAAAAGACTTTAGTGAAGACGGGTGGAGAGGTTAGGTGGTCCCTAGATAAAAGCAACCAGGAAAGATCCAAGGCAATAAGGTTGCATGCATTCCCTGGTCGTCAGAGAATCTTGTTCATTTTTTTTTTTTTTTTAAGATTTGGAAGAATAGTATTTTGAAAGTGACGCTGGGGAGCAAGGGGAATGTTGTACACTCCCTTTGCTTTGGATTTGTGGATTGAGAAACTAAAACAGCCTTTACTATTGAAAGTGTTTTGGGGGCAAGATGGGATTCTGTTAAAGAGTAAAATGAAGTATTTGATAACAGGATTGAGACTATCAGGGAATGAATCATAGACCAAGAGCCGAGAGAAAAAGTAGGGAGAGAAGAAAGGTGCTGGATATGTCAGAAAAGAGAAATTTTACTAGAATATGGGAAGAGGTGAAGACAGATAGAGGGACTTGCATTTTGGTAAGAAAATAGGGAACTGAGGAAGGCATAGTATAATAAATGATTTCATGGTTCCATACTAAATATAACAATGTCAAATTTGAACAAAATTAAGCTGGTTTAGCCTTGTAGTGGTACTTGGAATGGCAGTTTGCAAGAAAAGTTATTGTGGATTAAATATCTGAAGGAAAGCTATGTGGATTTCCAGTGTCTTGCTATAGAAGATACCAAAGGAGAATTCAACTGTTTCTTGTTTCCAAATAGTGGTTAAAGTGAACGCACAATGGCCAGTAATCACAAACCTTCAGCAGCTCGCCCTGTTTCACGAGGTGGAATTGGGTTGCCTGGAAGACCTCCTTCTGGAATACGACCCCCCTCAGGAAATATTCGAGTGGCAACTGGAGTAAGTTTCAAACAATTCTATTGAATTCTTGTGCGTATGTCCTGGTAGAAGTTGGAATGCCTGTCTATAATAATTCTACTTTGTTCTTTCTTTATTCTGTCAGCATATCATTATACATGATTTTTGGGGGGAAAATACCTAGAAGTATAAATGTGGGAGGATGTCTGAAAGACATTATTGAGAGAAGATGCCTGCTAATATTGATACTCAAATTTATTTTAAAGGTACAATAAGTGGTAGGTATAGTTTATTGGTGCCTGCATCAAATGAAATGGAATAGACAAGATACAAAATTAGACATACATAAGAACATAATGATTAAGGTGACATTTCAAAATAGTTGGAAAAGCATGAAGCATTCAGTAGTGCATTCAAATAGTGGGTAAACGATTTAAAAATCGACCCCTCCACACAGAATTCTAGATGTTTTAGCAACTTTATATTTAAAAAATGAAACTATCAACATACTAGAGGAAAATAGAGGCAAGTATTTCATATAAACCTGGTGTGGACTAGGCCTTTGTAAAACAGAAACACCAAGTACAATATATTTATATATTTGAATTTTTAAAAATTGAAAACACCATAAAAAGTTCAAAATGACCAATCAGTAAAAAATATTTGCAACATATATGTCATAAATACAGTTCAGAATCTTAAAATGAAAAAGCAAACTTTACTAACTTGTAAGAGCTCTTTCTATAGTAAGGCTATGAACCCTATGTTCAATCAAAATTACATGAGATATCATATCAAACTATTGTAAAATTCATCTGAAACAAAAAAGCAAAAATAAGGAAAAGTACAGTACTCTAATATAAAAACAGATTATTAATAATAAGTAAAACAATATTTTGGTTGCTACAGCAGCCTGGAAACAGACTAGAAAATGTTAGTAGCTTAATGTGAAATGGAGAGTGTCATAAATCAGTAAGAGAAACATATACCACATTAAAAAAAGTTGGATAAACATTATAAACTGATAATTCTAAGTAGAATAATATCCTGTAAAGATGATTATTACAGTTTCATTAGAATTATAATAGTGAAAATTTGAGAGCAACTTAAATTACCTTACAACAGGTAAATCTTAAATGAATTACGATATATCTATCCTTATAATAGGCTATTAAGTAGTCATTAAAAATTACTTTCAGAGAGTATTTGAGGAAATTCTATATCTCTATAATACAATATTAAGTGTAAAAAGCAATGTGGTGTCAATTGAACATAAAAATATACATTTATACATACATAAAAAGAAATTAATATGCCAAAATATTCATAATAATTTTTCTGATGCTTGCAACAGATGGTTTCAACTCCTTGTATGTCAAGCTTATACAGTAGGCTAATTGCAAACTAGAGATAATGCTTGGTCCTGTGTTTAATTCATAAGAAGAACAGTAATTTTTGGTGGGAAAAATTTTGGTAAAGTCAGGTTTTCTTAAACTTTACAGATTTTTCTAGAGTTTCAGGTAGTATTATCAACACCATCAACTTATATTGAAATGATTTTTCTAAAGTCTTCACATATATGGTACTGAGCTATTAAAAATTTTTATTTTGGTAAGAATTTATGCTTCCTAATGAAATATTTATGAAAGAATTTGGATACTTATTGGCCACCTACTCTGTGCCATGTGCTTTACCCATTTAGTGTTTGTAGTTTTTAAAATATTGATGCTTGCTGTAAAACATACAAAGGAAAAGTATCAGAGTTCCTTCCTACCCCAGGAATAACTATTGTCAACAGTGTGATGTGTATCCTTCCAGACTTTTTTCTGTTCCTTTACAAACACTAACACCATGCATATGAGATTGTATGATTTTAATATTTTCTAAAATGACCATAATACTATATACATTGTTATGTATTTTATCCATTACCTTCAGTAATATATTTTAAGTATATTTTCATATAAATACATATGTCTATTCATTCTTTTAAATGTGTGTAATTTTAATTTATACTTCTCTGTATTTTCATTTGGTAAATTTTACCTAGGAAGAGATTTAGCATTCTCTTCCAAAGACCACTCAGGATAACCCTGAACTCATTTCTTTTGAATTTGTGGTTAACAGTGTTTCTGTGTCCAGCATATTCTTTGGAATGTTTTACTGTTGCTGGTTCCCCCAGTAACTACCAAGTAATTCTCAGAATCACTTAAGAATTATGTTAGCTGATAGGATTAGAGGCTACCAGCTAAGTATTAAAGACAATCAAAATGAATGACAATGGTTATATATAATCACTATCTAAAATGTCTAGTACATTTTTAATCTACTACTTTATTCTTTGGCAGAGAATGGGGAAAAAGGAAAGAAAGGATGGAAGATAAACAAAAGAAGGATAACTTGGAACAGCTTTGGGTGGTCTCAGACCTTCCCAACATATCTATGTTGTATGAACTGACAAGAAGGGAGTCTTTTTTTCCCCCAAAGATTTTATTTATTTGAAAGGGAGAGAGAGAGAGCGAGAGAAAACACAAGGGGGGAGGGCAGAGGGAGAGGGTGCAGCAGGGAGCTGGACGACCTGGGGCTCAATCCCAGGACCCGAAGGCAGATGCTTAACTGACTGAGCCATCTAGATGCCTCAAGAAGGGAGTCTTTTGTTCTTTCTTCAGAGTGTATAATGTTATATTGGATTTTGCAGACCTGATGTAGAGAATCATATAGAGTAATAATATGAATGCTTGTTGAATGATGTTATCCTTAACACTTACTTGGCTATCTTGTGACGGAATTATATATGATTTCAATTTAAAAATGAAAATGTCTTCTTTTTTTGTGATTTTGAATGTAATATATACTTATTGTAATGATGCTGAAAACACCAAATTGTGAAAAGGATAACATAAAAATGAACTATAATATCATTATTTTATATGAGGATAACCATTGTTACTGTTTTTTATATAATTCTCCAGACTTTTTGTTTTACAAAATGGAATTATGAATATTGTTTTATAAACTGGTTTTTTGTATATTACAACTTATTCAACTATGTCTTATAGTTAAATAAGGACAAATATGTGTATATTTAGTTCCTTTCCAATTTAAAGATTTTTTTATTTATTTGACAGAGAGAGAGAGACAGCGAGAGAGGGAACACAAGCAGGGAGAGGGTCAGAGGGAGAAGCAGGCTTCCCGCCGAGCGGGGAGCCCGATGCGGGGCGGGGCTCGATCCCAGGACCCTGAGATCATGACCTGAGCTGAAGGCAGTCGCTTAACCAACTGAGCCACCCAGGCGCCCCAGTTCCTTTCCAATTTAGAGATGTTATAAATAATGTCTCCACATAGAATTTTATTTATTCATTTAACCTTCTTTTTCTTTCTTTTTTTTTTTTTTAAGATTTTATTTATTTATTTGACAGAGAGAGACACAGCGAGAGAGGGAACACAAGCAGGGGGAGTGGGAGAGGGATCGAAGCAGGCTTCCCGCCAAGCAGGGAGCCCGATGCGGGGCTCGATCCCAGGACCCCGGGATCATGACCTGAGCCAAAGACGCTTAACGACTGAGCCACCCAGGCGCCCCATTTAACTGTATTTTTCTTAAAATATAGTTGACATAGAATTAAAATTTTTTTTAGAATTTTACATTTTAAAGAAATGTGCTGTTTAATGTTCACAGAATTTTAAATGTTAAAGAATTTTATTTAATATTTCATATTTCAGAATTTCAAAATATAAGGAATATTTTACACATTAAATAGAATTTTAATTTTGAAAATATTCTCTATGCAGTCTTAACAGTATAGTATTTTTCTCATTTACTAAAACTGGAATCATGTTTTTCATTTAGATGCCACCTGGAACAGCAAGACCAGGCTCTCGTGGCGGTCCCATAGGGACAGGAGGAGTTCTGTCTTCTCAAATCAAAGTTGCTGACCGTCCTGTAACACAACAAGGTTTGAGTGGAATGAAAACTGGAATGAAAGGTATCTATTTTAAGAAGATAAGTATATTTTATATAAGAAATATTACAGGGCACCTGGGTGGCTCAGGAAGTTGAGCATCTTCCTTTGTCTCAGGTTATGATCTAGCAGGAGTCAGCAGGGAGTCTGTTTCTCCTTTTCCCTCTGCCCTTCCCCCTACTTGTGCACACTTTGTCTCTCTCTCAAATAAATAAATAAAATCTAAAAAAAAAATATTATAGTACCTTATTCCTAAATGAGAATTATAAAAAGGCTATTTTATTCAATTTTTATTCCTTGGTTCACAAGACTGTGGTTAGGGTTAAATAAAAGAATGAATGTGAAAATACATTGTGAACTAGAGAGTAAATACATTTGTGAGCTATTTTAATCTTCATTTTTCTGAACATGGAATTTGTTATAACTTGAAGAAATTTGAAATAATTTGAAGAAAAGCTCAGGAATGAAAATTAGATTCTAGTACTACATAGAAATATTCTGAAATACTTTTTGATATAAAAGTCACACTGTTAAGATATTTATGTATTTATGAGAATGAGTCAAGAAGTGTTACTTTTTCTAATATTTAATGCTTCATTATAATATGTAACTCCCTAAGTAAGGAAATAAGGCTAATGTATAGATTTTTACTGCATCTTCCCTTGTGCCTCTGTGTTTAAAAAGGCATAATGGTACACTACATGTTATGATTCAAAAAATTGGTTTGTGATATATACAAATCAAAGCATGGTGAACTCTATAATGAGTTTTTTATTTTCTATATTTGTGACAAATGACTTATCAGGGATGAAGATATTCTGGGAAAAAATTAATTATAAGATATTATACTACCTTGTATAATATAGTGTGCCATGCCTTTGAGAAGTTTTCTTTATTGTAATACTACTTAGCTCACTGAATATTAAAAAACAATTGTTTAGAAATGCTTGCTTGGGCGCCTGGGTGGCTCAGTTGGTTAAGTGACTGCCTTCGGCTCAGGTCATGATCCTGGAGTCCCGGGATCGAGTCCCACATCGGGCTCCTTGCTCGGCGGGGAGTCTGCTTCTCCCTCTGCCCTTCCCCTCTCTCATGCTCTCTCTCTCTAATAAATAAATAAGTAAATCTTAAAAAAAAAAAAAAAAAGAAATGCTTGCTTAATAATCATCAGTATTGTGAAAAAGTGTAAAAATTATATAATTGTTTAGTCTTTAAAAATGTATTCACAGAAATGTCTGTACATTTTATATTATTAAAAAATACTATAGGGCGCCTGGGTGGCTCAGTTGGTTAAGCGACTGCCTTCGGCTCAGGTCATGATCCCAGGGTCCTGGGATCGAGTCCCGCATCGGGCTTCCTGCTCCTTGGGAGCCTGCTTCTCCCTCTGCCTCTCTCTCTCTGTCTCTGTCTCTCATGAATAAATAAATAAAATCTTTAAAAAAAATACTATAGATAATTTATCAAATATTTATTACTATATTGATTTCTCCTACAGAACAGAACCAACATCAGTTAAGATGGTTTCTACCAATATACTTCAGAGTCTTACAGGAGAGTTCTGATTATTACCACTATGCACTACTATCTGCTGTAACTTGTTCTTACCTGCTCTGGTGCCCCATTTCCCATTCTAACACATTCTCTCTCTCTTCTGAGCATAGACCTCACAGTCAGTGCTCTCTTCCCTTACTTCTCCCACCTTGCAGAGCACTTCATCTCTCAAGGTTTGGGACATTGAGCCTAGGAATATTTTCTTATTCCTACTGAAATAACTGAAATAAGATAATGTTTCTAAAAAAAGGTCTCTGAGACAAATTATGAAAAGTCATAATCTCTTGCATTGAGAAATTCACAGCCTAAATCTGCACTGTTCATTATGATAATCAATAGCTACATGTAGCTATTTAAATTTAAATTAATTAAAATTATGTAAAATAAAGATTCAGCTCTCTAGTAGCCTCAGCCACATTTCAAGTGCTCAATAATCCCAAGTAGCTACTTTATTGGACAGTGGTGAGATAGAGTATTTCCACTGTTGCAGAAGGTTCTCTTGGATAACCCTGTTCTAGACTTTCTTAGTTTGCATTCAGTCAACCTGACCTGTAGAGTCTACTATCTTAACAGCCCTACCTCTAGTCCCATTTTTGTGGTCTTTATTCAAGTTTCCATTATTACATGATGCTAAGATATTCTCTCTTCATTTCACCCTGACATCAAGAGTCACACGCTCTACCGACTGAACCAGCCAGGTGCCCCGGTGTTCTTTACCATTTTAACGATTCATCTTGATTATGAAATTTATTGGGGCATAAATAAAGACTATCAGAATTGTGGAGTAGCACTGTGGTTGTGCTTTGGCTTGGCTATTTTGGTGGCATTTCCAAACTGCACAGTAGTAATTAAAAACTTTTTTTTTTAGGTCCCCAGAGGCAAATTTTAGACAAATCTTACTATCTTGGGCTTCTTCGGTATGTTTTTTCCTATGTATGGTCATGAAGTTTTAACTCTGGTACTTATTAAGATAGTTAGGTATCTTTTGATTTCTAAGAATTATTTTGTGTTCTAATATAATTTCTGGTTAATTTGGCTGTGTTACAAATATATGTGATAATACAGTTAGGCTGAGATTTTAAATTGTATATATTTGCATGTAGATGAACTATTTATGTCAAGTTCACTATTTTTCATATAACGATAAGAATAATCTTTTATGCTTCTTTGACTAATTATTCTGAAATATATTATTCATACCATTGACATGTCACTAGTTCCATGTAATAAGAAAGGGAAAAGGTGTATACTTATTTATGATATATTAACTAGTGTAGGGTTTTACATAAATGTATATTTGGTCATTTGCTACAAATGTGACCTAATTTTAATTAATTTAAAATGTTTATTATGTGGCTCTAAGTATTAAGCTCTAAACTGAGAATTTTTTTCTTACCTTTTTCTTGCTCAGATGTCCTACTCTCTCCATTTCCCCATTTTACTTTGTTTTCTTCTTGGCTCATCATCTATATCTTCTTTCTCTCTTACTTCCATTTCATTTAATCCATCTTCCATCATGTCCTAAAAGTTCTGTTTTCTTAGTTCTTCTGGATTCTTTCATTTCTCAATTATCAGAATCCTTTATGATTCTCAGACTTCTAGAAGGCAATAAAGAGAAATGTAGGTTTTCCCCATCAGTCCATTAAGGTTAGCATTAACCTAAACTAACATCAGCAAAAAAAAAAAAAAAAAATAGTGAGGCCATCAGTTGTATAGCATCTCTTGATATCCAGCCACTTTTTAATTAAAAGAAGGAAAAGTTATAGAACTGTTTTTCATCACAGCATTTCCATGCTTCTTCAGGATTTGTGCTTCAGCATAAAAAAAATAGTTCTAGCTATTTATGTAATTGTTTGATACTATAGCAGTGGTTCTCAACTGGCAGTGATTTTGTCCCCTAGAGAACATTTGGCAATTTTTAGACAGATATTTGGTTGACACAGCTGGGGTTGAGGGGTTATGCTACTGACAACTTGACCAGGTATACTGTTAAACATCCTACAGTGCACAGCATAGCCCCTTCCCCACTGTCAGACTTATTCTTTAATGACCTAAAATGTCAATAGTGCTGCTTTTGAGAAGCCCTGTCCTAGAGGGTAGCAGGCGCTGTAAGGGTGACAATTAAGCATCTACTTCTGTCTAAAGGTTGTTTGTTTGACCAGGCTTACATTCTGGTCCTAGTTCATCTTAATGATTAGAGAATCTCTTTCAGTTTCTTAATCAAAGTTGGGATATGCCTCATTCTTAGTTAAACAAGCCACATAAATTGTTTTTCTTTTCGTTAGTGAAATTTCACAAAACCATTTATATTGTTAACACATGAGAAGTTTGCTTTGTTTGACTAGAAAGGCTCTTTTCTGGATTAGAAGTATTGCTAACTTTCTAATTTCTTTTCATTTAGAAGTAAAATAAGTGAACTTACAACAGAAATTAATAAACTTCAGAAAGAGATAGAAATGTACAATCAAGAGAATTCAGTATATTTGTCATATGAAAAGAGGTAAGTAATTTTGGAGTTAAAATTATACAAGATCTTTTTTATTAATAGACAACATTTAATGTAATATATTTCAGAAGTTTAATACTGAATTCATAGTTATATATAATGTTTGTAATGCTCTTATTTATGTGTTTATGAATATTTGTTTTATGCTTGCAGAGCTGAGACTTTAGCTGTTGAAATCAAAGAGTTTCAAGGACAATTAGCAGACTACAACATGGTATTTGCTCTTTTCTGAGATTTTTTTGAGTATTTTTATTGCTTTTTGCTACTTTAAAAATATATTATTTTAAATACCAAATAATACATGAGTACCAAGCTTATGCTAAAAGATTGAAAACAGGGAAAGTGTAGATTAAAGTATCACTCTGCTTTTTCCCTGATTTCCCTCCCCAGAAATAATTTGGCTTAACAGATTGATATGTATTCTGCCAGTCTTCTTTTTTTTAAAGAACAAGTTTGTTGTTTTAAAGATTTTATTTATTGATTTGAGAGAGACAGACATAGTGACAGAGAGCGTGAGCGGGGAGGAGAGGGAGAAGCAGGCTCCCTGCTGAGCCGGGCGCCTGACGCAGGACTCAATCCCAGGACCCTGGGATCATGACTCGAGCCGAAGGCAGACACCAACTGACTGAGTCACCCAAGCGCCCAATTCTGCCAGTCTTCTTTTTTTTTTTAATGTTTCAAGTTTTTATTTAAATTCTAGTTAGTTAACATATAGTGTACTGTCTGTTTCAGGGGTAGAATTTAGTGATTCATCACTCACATAAAACACCCAGTGCTCATCACAAGTGCCTTCCTTGATACCCATCACCCATCTAGCCCATCCCTACCCACCTCCCTCCATCAATCCTCAGTTTGTTCTCTCTCATTAAGAGTGTCTTTTATGGTTTGCTTCCCTCTCTTTTTTTTCTTTCCCCTGTGTTCATCTGTTTTGTTTCTTAAATTCTACATATGAGTGAAATTATATGGTGTTTTTCTTTATTGACTGACTTTATTGATTCTAGCTCCATACATGTCATTGCAAATGGCAAGATTTCATTCTTCTTTATGGCTGAGTAATAGTGTGTGTGTGTGTGTGTGTGTGTGTATCATATCTTTATCCATTCATCAGTCGATATCCATTCATCAGTCGATGGACTTTTATGCTCTTTCCATAATTTGGCTATTGTTGATAATGCTACTATAAACATCGGGGTTCATGTGTCCCTTCAAATCAGTGCTTTTGTATCCTTTGGGTAAATATCTAGTAGTGCAATTGCTGGATCATAGGGTAGTTCTATTTTTAACTCTCTGCGGAACCTCCATACTATTTTCCAGAGTAGCTGCACCAGTTTGCATTCCCACCAACAGTGCAAGAGCATTCCATTTTCTCCGCATCCTCACCAACCTCTGTTGTTTCCTGTATTGTTTATTTTAGCCATTCTGACAGATGTGAGGTAGTATCTCATTGTAGTTTTGATACGTATTTCCCTGATGATAGGTAATGTTGAGCATGTTTTTATGTGTTAGCCATCTGTCTTCTTTGGAAAAATGTCTATTCAAATCTTCTGCCTTTTTCTTAACTGGGATTGTTTGGTTTTTTGGGTGTTGAATTCATAAGTTCTTTTTTTTTTTAAGACTATTTATTTGACAGAGACAGTGTACAAGCGCACAAGCAGGGGGAGTGACAGGCAAAGGCAGAGGGAGAGGGAGAAGCAGTCCTCCCCACTGAGCAGGGAGCCCAATGTGGGGCTCAATCCCAGGACCCTGGGATCATGACCTGAGGCGAAGGCAGGAGCTTAACCGACTGAGCCACCCAGGCACCCTGAATTCTAAGTTCTTTATAGATTTTTGGATACTAACCCTTTGTCAGATAAGTCATTTGCAAATACTTTCTCCCATTCCAAAGGTTGTCTTTTAGTTTTGTTGATTGTTTCCTTCACTGTGCAGAAGTCCCAGTAGTTCATTTTGCTTTTGTTTCCTTTGCCTGCGGAAATGTATCTAGTAAGAAGTTGCTTATAGATGAGGTCCAAGATGTTACTGCCTGTGTTCTCTAAGATTTTGATGGTTTCCTGTCTCACATTTAGATCTTTCATCCATTTTGAATTTATTTTTGTGTTTCGTGTAAGAAAGCAGTCCAGTTTCATTCTTCTGCATATTGCTGTCCAGTTTTCCCAGCACTATTTGTTGAAGAGACTTTTTTTTCCATTGGATAGTCTTTCCTGCTTTGTTGAAGATTATGATCATATAGTTGTGTGTCCATTTCTGGGTTTTCTATTCTGTTCCACTGATCTGTGTGTCTGTTTTTGTGCCAGTACCATACTGTCTTGATCACTACAGCTTTGTAATATAGCTTGAAATTCAGAGTCCTGATGCCTCCAGTTCTGTTTTTCTTTTTCAAGATTGCTTTGGCTATTCAGGGTCTTTTCTGGTTCCATACAAATTTTAGGATTGTTTATTCTAGCTCTGTGAAAAATGCTGGTGGTATTTTGATAGGGATTGCATTAAATGTGTAGATTGCTTTCAGTAGTATAGATGTTTTAACAATATTTGTTCTTCCAATCCATGAGCATGGAATGTTTTTCCATTTCTTTGTGTCATCTTTCATCAGGGTTCTATAGTTTTCAGTGTACATGTCTTTTAGCTCTTTGGTTAGGTTTATACCTAGGTATCTTATGGATTTTGGTGCAATTGTAAATGGGAGTGATTCCTTGATTTATCCTTTCTGGGCTTCATTATTGTACAGAAATGCAACACATTTCTGTACATTGATTTTTTTATCCTGCTACTTTACTGAATTTGTGTATCAGTTCTAGCAATTTTTTTTGGTGGAGTCTTTCGGGTTTTCTACGTAGGGTATCATGTCATCCGCAAATAGTGAAAGTTTGACTTCTTCCTTGCCAATTCAGATGCCTTTTATTTCTTTCTGTTGTCTGCTGAGGCTAGGACTTGCAGTATTATGTTAAATAACAACAGTGAGAGTGGACATCCCTGTCTTGTTCCTGACTGTAGAGGAAAAGCTCTCAGTTTTCCCCCATTGAGGGTGATATTAGTTGTCGATCCTTCATATATGGCTTTTAGGATGTTGAGGTATCTTCCCTCTATCTCTACTTTGTTGAGAGTTTTTATTAAGAATGGATGCTGTACTTTGTCAAATGCTTCTTCTGCGTCTATTGAGAGGATCATATGGTTCTTTTCTTTTATTAATGTGGTGTATCATGTTGATTGATTTGCAAATATTGAATGAACCACCCTTGCAACCCAGAATAAATCCCACTTGATCATGGGAATGACTCTTTTAATGTACTGTGGGATTTGGTTTGCTAGTATTTTGTTGAGAATTTTTGCATCCATGTTCATCAGGGATATTGGCCTGTAGTTTTGTTTTTTGGTGGAGTCTTTGTCTGGTTTTGAAATCAGGGTAATGCTGGCCTCATAGAATGAGTTTGGAAGTTTTCATTCCATTTCTATTTTTTGGAATAGTTTGAGAAGAATAGGTATTAACTCTTTAAATGTTTGGTAGAGGGGCACCTGGGTGGCTCAGTCGGTTAAGTATATGCCTTCAGCTCAGGTCATGGTCCTGGGGTCCTGGGATTGAGCCCCACATGGGGCTCCCTTCTCAGCAGGGAGCCTGCTTCTCCCTCTCTCTCTGCAGCTCCCCTTGCTTGTGCTCGCTTTCTCTGTCTCTCTGTCAAATAAATGAATAAAATCTTAAAAAAAAAAGAACTAAGTGGATATAATAATATCCAGTAATTATAATAAAAAGAAAGGTTTGGTAGAATTCCCCTGGAAGCCATCTGGCCCTGGACTTTTGTTTGTTGGGAGAGTTTTGATTACTGCTTCAGTTTCTTTGCAGGTTATGGGTCTGTTCAGGTTTTGTATTCCTGTTTCAGATTTGGTAGTTTATGTTTCTAGGAATTTATCCAGATGGCCCAATTTGTTGGCATATAATTTTTCAAAATACTCTCTTATAATTATAAGTTTGTATTTCTGTGGTGTTGGTTATGATCTAGCCTCTCTCATTTGTGATTTCGTTTATTTGGGTCCTTTCTCTTTTCTTTTTGATAAGTCTGGCTGGGAAGTGATCAATTTTATTAATTCCTTCAAAGAACCTGCTCCTGGCTTCATTGATCTGTTCTACTGCTCTTTTTGTTTCTCTATCATTTCTTTCTTTTCTTTTTTTAGAGAGATAGAGAGGGAGAAACAGCACGAGTGGAGGGGAGGGGCAGAGGGAAAGGGAGAGGGAGAATCCTAAGCAGATGCCACACCCAGCATGGAGCCTGACTTGGGGCTCAGTCTCAAGACCCTGAGATCATGCATGACCTGAGCTGAAATCAAGAGTTGGATGCTTAACCGACTGAGCCACCCAGGCACCCCTATATCATTTATTTCTGCTCTAATCTTTTTTTTTTCTTTTAGTGTTTTAGATTTTTTTTTTAATTCTTATGTTAATCTCCATACATTACATCATTAGTTTTAGATGAAGTGTTCCATGATTCATTGTTTGTGCATAACACCCAGTGCTCCATGCAGAATGTGCCCTCCTCAATACCCACCACCAGGCTAACCCATCCTCCCACCCCCCTCCCCTCTAGAACCCTGTTTGTTTTTCAGAGTCCATCGTCTCTCATGGTTCGTCTACCCCTCCGATTTCCCCCGCTTCATTCTTCCCCTCCCGCTACCTTCTTCTTCTTCTTCTTTTTTTTCTTAACATATTCTGCTCTAATCTTTATTATTTCCTTTCTTCTGCTGGCTTTAGGCTTCACTTGCCATTCTTTTTCTAACTCCTTTACATGTGAAGTTAGGTCGTATATTTGAGATTTTTCTTGCTTTTTGTGGTAGGCCTATATTGCTATATACTTCCCTCTTATGACCACTTTTGCTGCATCTCTAAGGTTTTGGACCATCATGTTTTCAGTTGTTTCCATGTATTTTTTTTTTTTTTCTTAATTTCTTCTTTAATTTCCTGGTTAACCCATTCATGCTTTAGTAGGATGTTCCTTAACTTCCATGTATTGTGATCTTCCCAGATTTTTTCTTGTGGTCTTGTGGTTGACTTCTTCCAGTTTTATAGCATTGTGGTCAGATAATATGCATGGTATGATCTCAGTCTTTTTGTACTTGTTGAGGCCTGATTTGTGACCCAGTATGTGATCTGTTCTGGAGAATGTCTCATGCGCACTTGAAAGGAATGTGTATTCTGCTGCTTTAGGATGGAATGTTCTGAGTATATCTGTT